CAGCGCGTGCATGAGCTGGCTGCGCGACTGCTCGAGCGCGAGAGCGCTGGCGAGGCGCCAGGGCACTGGGCGGGTCAAGCACCTTGCCGCGAAGACGCCCTGGATCCAGCAGTTGGTGGCCAAGAGGGTCATCATCGGGCCCGTTGCCGGTGGCGACAACCTGGCGGATCTCGGCGCAACGGTGTTGCCGAGGACACGCCTAGAGCGGCTCCGTGAGAGCTGCGGGTTGAAGGAGGTGCTCGCGCCGGGGACCTCGAGGGTGGCTGGGGCCGGGGCCATGCCGACCGACTTCCAGGCCCAGTCAACCCCGCTGAAGTTGCTGGCTGCAGGGGCCGCGTCACTCCCCACAGCGGTGCAAGGGAGCTCGACCGAGCTGTGCGAGGCACCGCAGGAGTTGGGCGGGGGTGCGTTGACTTCAGTGGCCATGCCAGGAGTCACGACTGAGGGCTATTACGTGAGCCTGACTGCGCGGCAGGCGTGAGCCTAGGGCTCCTGCTTTCTGTTGCCAGGGTTTTCCTTGTCTTGCTGGTTTTGCCTGCCCGTGAGGCCGAGTTGGTGCCGCGCGGGTGCCCCGCCGCGCGTTGGCGACGGCAGGAGGCCACGGCGTGCTCCGATCGAGGGATCGAGTGGGCCAGCAGTGAAGCTCAAGACTAGGAAGGGCGGCCGCGCCAGGACGATTGCCACCCAGATCCAGGTCAAGTATACCTGGTGGACGACCAGCCCCCGTTTCCTGCTTTTGGGACCGAGAGGACAAGGGGTGTGGTCCGAGTAGGGCCTTGAAGCCAAGTGCTGTTTAGATGCGCCATAGGCGCGGGTCTAGACCTCCGCGACTACGCGTCGAGGCACTGCGGGTTTAAGTTTCACTTTCTAGGACCCTTGAAGGAGTGGTGTCCCGAGGGGTGTCCGAGGGGGACGGGCTCACCGCCCGCCCCCGCTCTGCCAGGCGGCGTGCTCGGGATCTTGAGTGATTCGGACGCCATAAATTCGTAGCATGCCCGCAGGCCCTTTTGTTCGAGCTGGCCATGCGCTGTCCCCACGCATCCGCATAACTTCCGCCAGCTTGAGGTCCCCATCAACACGGACCGGTCATGCACTTGTCTCTTACATTCCCCAAGATCTCCGAGTTTCAGAAGCCCTAGCGCGCAGATCGTTCGTATTTTCTTGCGTGTCCCAGTGGAGTGTGGGGCAAGACATACATGAGGCGTGTACTGAATGGGTCCCTTCGTGACCCTCGAAGCGCAGAGCACTTGTATGTCCACGTGTCCCAGTCGAGTGAGGAGCACAGAATGCGTGAGTGGTGTACTGACATGATTGCCGTAGCCATGAAGGCGCTGTTCACTCGTAGCGCGGGGTACATTTATTTTTACGTGCCGCAGGTTTTCAGGCACAACCGCCCAGTCTTGGGAGTACATGCCACTTGTATTCTTACGTGCTCCAGGAAAATTGATAGACATTTGCTTCATCGGCTTGCGGAATGGGCGACGCCCGTCTTAGCATGCCTTATACCTGCCAGTTCACTCTCCTCAGTAATCGTCTTGGAGCCTCCATGTGGCACACCCCTCACGCACGTCGTGCTCCATGGGCCCAAAAAGAGATTCGACCTGGCCTCCAAGCCCGCCTACTTCCCCAAGGGGTGCAAACACGCTCTCAACAGAGCCGTGACTCCCGCCTTGCGGGCTCAATCGTCTATCTCTGAAGGCCAACACGAGGGCCTGCAGGGGGCCCGCCGAATTCCACTAAACGCCCCTGAAGGGGCCAGACGCCGCCGCCCCACCTTTTTTGGAACCGGGAGTTTCTCTGCGGGGGTGCCCATGGCGACCCCAGAGGGTCCAGAAAAGGCTTGGAGGGCGGGCTTGGATCCCAGGGCAACGAAATCGTGTTAAGGATTCTTGCTAAGCTTTAGTGTTCAGGATGTGTGCGTGGATTAGTGTTACGTATTCGTATTTGGGATTGTTGTTTAAAATACGTTTTAAAGATCACTGTTATGTATAAGCGTTAAGTAAGGGCTAGCTAACACGGCGAGGGCCTGCAGGAGGCCCGCCGAATTTAATTGAACGCCCTTGAAGGGGCAGACACCGCCGCCCCACCATTTTTGGATCCTGGAGACTCTGTGGGGGCGGCGGCCGCTCCGCGCGCGCGAATAGGAAATGTTGTGGTGCTGGTGCTGGTGCTTCCGCTTGGAGGCCTCGTGGGGCTCTATGGAGAGGACACTGGGCTCCTCAGCAAGCTCTCTGTCGTATGGCCCTGAGCCCAGGACGGCCGCAGAGAGGCTGGAGGGACTGAAAGCAGCGAGCTCTGCGTCGTATGACCCTGAGGCCAGGACGGCCGCAGAGAGGCTGGAGGAACTGAACAAAACCGTCGGGTTCGTCCCATAATGCTTGCCGAGGAGCGTCTTTCACATGACCCTGAGGCTATGACGGCTGCAGGGAGGCTGGAGAAACTCAAAACACCGTCGGGTTCGTCCCAGGGGGACCTTTGGAGGGGCCCAAAAAGGAGCCGGAATGGGTCAAGTGCGGCCGACTTGGGGTGAACGATGAAAACAGAAAGGGGAACAGCAGTCCGGGTTTGTGTGCGGCTCCTGGAAGAGCCCCTGGAGGCGTTGAAGGGGCGCCCCAGATTGGCGAAATACGGTGCCAAAAAGGCGGCCAGACGGCCCAAGATGGGTCCGAGATGCTGTCAGGACGGTCGTAGAGAGCAATGCCGGGTTCTAAGATGGCCGCATGAGCCAGCGGAGATGCACGGGAGCTCAGAGAGAGGCGCAAGGAGAAGTGCGAGAAGGCCAGATCCATCAACATCCTATATGATTTACGATGTTTTTTGCTTGTTGGGGTGTTCTGGCGTTTGTGGCTCGAAAAGAGGGGAATATGCATCTGAAACGACTCAAAAGTGGATCGGGCGCCGTCTTACGGGGCAGGCTCGACAAGTGAGTTTGAATTTCCACCCTTGAGGCCTCCTTGAGAGTCTCCGCAGCTCTCGTGGGAGTCCTCTTGGGCACTCTTGGAATCCTCTGGGGTCGTTTGGGGGCCGTCTGGGGGCTGTCCTTGGAGTGTCTTGGGCTGATTTGGGCGGTCTTGGCGTCCTCTTGGCCCGTGCCGGTTGGGAACCTGCAAAGGCGGGTAACGTCTAAATCCTTCATGTAGTTTGAAATTCCTGAGCAAAATCAAGTCTTGGGGCTCTCTTCGGGTCTTGGTAGGGCCCTCTTAGGCCGTCTTGGGTGCCTTTGGGGCTGTCTTATCTTGGGCCGTCTTGGAGCGCTCTTGGCCTGAGGTCGTGGGGCTTGCTATTGGCGCATCATTGGGGCAGGATCAGTCAGCATCGAATCGGTAAATCGGGGCGAAACAGCGCCATGCGAGCATCGGGCCGCATCGGATCGTCGGAATATCGGAATCGAATCGGATCGAAATGCCCAGCACCGATTCCGAATCGGATCGATCGGATCGAAATGGACTGTGCCTTGGGGCGCTCCTGCGGCGCACTGGGGGCTCCCAGGGCCTCGCCCAGGAGCTCTGGCACCCGTGGCCTGGACTTGCCAGGGACCACCCGTGGTATTTCTCCGCCAAGGATCCTCAGGGGCCGCAACGTGCGCGCGCGCGAATTAGAGTTTCGTTGAACCTCGTACCAGAGACTTCTAACACGCCTCGGGGGACTTTGGACCGGCGAATTTTCAGATGTGTTGGTGTTGCCGCCTCGGGGGCGTTGGGAATCTCATAAAATGTCTTGGAGGCATCTTTGGGTTGTCTTCGGCCGTCTCGAGCTCTTGAAACCCTCTTCGCAGCCTCCTGCGCCGTCTCCAAGGCCTCTTGGGCCGTCCTGGCGCAGTCGTGCGGTGGCGTCCACTGAGGATCCTGGGGCAACCGTGAGTGACCAGGAATTTGAGCCCTCCCGTCATCCCCCTGGGTGGGATGGGATGCAGTGATATGGAGACAGGTCGGCAGAGACACGAGGCAACACGCAAAAGGCAGCCCAGCAGAAAACCTTACAGCCTGGCGCCCTCCCGGGGGCCAGCCTATGGCTGGGCATGTTGGCCTTCACGTGTTCCGTATGTGAAGCCTTCAGTCCCCTTCCCCAAGGTGTCTCCACAGGTGTCCGAAGACCTCCAGAGGTCCTGGACGGAGGCCTCGGGAGGCCTCTTGGCGGCCTCCCGAGGCGCAGAAGCGGCAACGCAGACCTCCAGAAGTTCGACCCCGCTCCCTTTTGCGCTGCATTTTTACGGATCCTGCCTATTGGAGGCGCAGCGTTTGATCCTCCCTCCTCCAGGGTCCATTTCGATCCGCTCGATCCGATTTGTTATCGATTCCGACCGGCCCGATCCGATTCGATTCCGATATCCCGACGATGCAATGCGGCCCGATGCTTGGATGGCTCTGTTGTGCATCCTGGCGCGGCCGATCCGATTCGATCTCGACTCCGTGCCGATGCAGCCCGACTCGACGCACATTCCGATTCGATCCGATTTTCCGATTCGATGCTGATTGATTATGTCCTTTTCCTCCTCCTCCTCCTCCTCCTCCTCCTCAGGAGGTCTTCAACTCCTAGGATGTTAACTTCATCATCGGCGCTGGTATATCCGTGGTTGGAAAGCGGCCAACTCCGGCATAATCCCGCGCAATCTTGTTTAATTTTGCTGAACCCGGCTTGTCGGGCTGAGTCCTGGGCCAGATCCAGCTTAACTCGGCTTCATGGCCCCTCAATCGGGCTGCATAGCCCTTCATCGGTTTGCCGAAGACCTCCAGAAGTTGCTTCCTAATCTCCTCCTCCTCCTCCTCCTTCTCCTGCCCCTCCCCCTCCTCCCCCTCCTTCTCCTAACGTCCTCCTCCTCTCCTCCTTCTACTCCTGACCTCCCCCTCTCCTCCGATCCGATCCGATTTCACTATTCGATGCTGATTGATCCCTCCTGCTGCTGCTGCTGCTCCTCCTCCTCCTCCCTCCTCCTCGCCCTCCCCCTCGTCCTTCGTCTCGTCCTCCCCTTCCCCCCCACCCCCTCCTCCCATCCTCCCCGCATGCCACGCGGCCTCGCGCCGCTGCTGCTCGGGCAAGACGCTCCGGCGCCTGGCGACTGGTGGGCCGCCGCGCTCCGGCAGGAGCCGCCGCGCGGCGCCCAGCGCGCCCTCCGCCGCGCGGCCGCCTTCGCCGCTCACCCCGCAGTTGCCTCTGGGGCGGCTCCGGCGCTGCACGGCGCCCACGCTCACCCTGCGGGGGCCCACGGCGCCGCGCACCCGGCGGCCGCGCACCCGGCGGGCGCCCACTCGGCGGGCGCCCACGCCGCCGGCCCCCCGGGTGCCGCGGCGGCGGCGCCGGGGGCGGGTCCGGCGCTGCAGGGCGCCAGCGGCCATTCGGGCCACCCTGCGGCGGCGGCGGCGGACCCGGCGCTGCAAGGCGCCCACGCCGCCGGCCATGCTCTGGGTGACCCTGCGGCGGCGGGGGCGGAGCCGCCGCTGCACGGCACCGCGGGCGCGGCGGATCCTGGCCTTCTCGGTGGCGAGGCTCACGGCCCGCTTCCCGCAGACAGCGCTGCGGTGCCGGCTGCAGGCGACCTCGCGGGCGGTGGGCCGCCGGGCCCCGATGGGGAGCCGGGCCCCGCCGAGGGGGGCGCCGAGGAGGCACTGGAGCAGGCCTTCCCCGAGGACCTGCAGAAGGCCTCCTTGCGGATGCTCCAGAGGCACCTGGAGCCGGGTGCCGAGTTCCCGCCCGAGCTCCGCGAGGCGGCTGCTTCGGTGGAGCGGTCGGGGCGCTTGCTGCAGACCTGGGTCAAACGCCGGCAGCTGCTCGCCGAGGCGCTGCCCCAGCTCGGCGACCACCTGGAGAAGTGCTACAGGGAGGACCTGGAGGACGTCGCGCTTTTGAAAGAGGACGAGGGCGAGGGCGCCGAGGGCGCGATGGAGGGTCAAGAGGCGGGTGGCGCCGAGGGCCTCGTCGGCGGCGAGGGCCTCGATGCGGCTGGCGGCCACACCGGCGGCCACGGTGGCGAGGTCCCTGCTGCGAATGCGCACGGCGCCCACACCACCACGATGTTAGACGTGACTCGGTTGGCCCAGGCGGCGCAACCACGGCCTCGTTCAGGACCTGCCCACGCCCAGACCGCCATGATCGGCGATCTGGGACAAGTGGGGGACACCGGCGGCGATATGGAAGGCGTATTGAACATGAGGAGGTACGAGCACCTCGCGAACAGAGGCCAGCCCAGCGAATTGAGGGCGGCCGCGGGTCCAGAGAAGCTGGCCAAGACGAGGAATCAGAACCTCATGGTGGGGGCCCCGGTGGGGGGGCCTCCTCTGGCCGCTACCCCGCCGGGGCCCGCGCTCAACCCGAATCTCGTGGTCGGCGGTCCTCCCCCGGCCGCCGCCCCGCCAGGGCCCGCACCTCAGGCCGCTGGCGCAGTTGCGCCAGTGCCAGGAGGCGCAGCCGGACCTGGAGCCCCGGGTGCTTTGGCCGCCAGTCCGGGTCTTGCTGGTGGCGTTGCTGCAGGTGGCCCCAGCGGCGGCGCTGTCGCTCGCGCCGCGGCGCCAGTCAGCTCTGCTGGTCCCGCTGGTCCTGCCCAGCTGGGAGCGCCGCCACCCAGTCCCAGTGGCCCTGGGGCCGCAGGAGCCTCACCGCACGCGCCGGGCGGCCCGCCCGGCGCCCCGCCTGGCGGCTCGCTTGGCGCGCCGCCAGGCGCCGGTGGTGCTCACGCGGCGCCCGCGCCCGACGCGGCAGCCCCTGGGCATCATGCTCCGCTGGCGCCGCAGCTCGACGCGGCAGCCCCTGGGCATCATGCTCCGCTGGCGCCGCAGCTGGGCGGCCCTGTCGGCCACCAGGCGGCCGCGGCGGGCGCGCCAGGCGAGGCCGCCGCGGCGAACCCGCCCGGCCACGACGCGGCCGCGATGGGCGCGCACCATGGGATGGCGGGCATGGCGGGAGGCGCTGTCCCGGGGATGCCGGGGGCGCACGGGCATCCACACCCGCACGGGGGCCCAGAGGCGCCCGCGCCGAAGCTCGACTACGACTGCTCGCAGGGGCTGCGCATCCCCGCGCAGGTGTTGGTCGGGCGCAAGGCGGTGAGCGCCGCCTACTGGGACTTCGACAGGAGCCTGGAGCTGGCGGAGAGGAAGGTGGGCCGTGCCCTGGACCGCGCCACCGTCCAGGCCTGGTGAGGTCGCGGTGCCAGCCGCCGCGCGCATCCGCCCCTCCTCCTGCCGAGGCCTCCGACGTCGTGATGTGTTCGCCGCGTGCCCCCCCCCCCCCCCCAGCAAGAACCCTAGATCCCCGACGTGGACTCCCTGGATGTCTCGACCCCGTCGCCGATCCATCGGCGGTGTCGCTATCGGGGCCCATCGCCGATCCGTCGGCAATGTGTCGCCAATCCCAGGTCGGTGTTCCTGGGCCCCCGACGTCGTGTTCTTTTCACAATGTGTACCCCTGGAGGTCTCGACCCCTTCCCCAGGACCAGTTTTTCATCTCGAGTCGGCTTTTTGACGGTCCCGGGGCCAAGCCAAGGGCCGGTCAGGTCGGTTGGAGCTTGGCGCCTTAGCAAATAAAACGTCAGAAGCCGTGCAACTGTAAAACCCGCTGGGAAGAAAGCGGCCGAAAACATACTGTCCTGTTTTTTTCTGCCTCTCGAGGGGCTCTGGGACTCTCTCGCGGAGCGCGCACGACTCTGGCGTTCGTTCGTTCGTGGGGCTCTCTCCACCCCCTCCCCGGGACTGCTTCTCCGCCCCAGGCCTGCAGGCGCCGTTTTGGGACGGCCCCAGGGACCCGAGAGCCTCCAGAGCCCGAGGTCACGACATCGGAGGCCTGGGCTCTCTGTGCTGCTGTGCTGCTGTCGTGCGCGCCTCCGGTGCGACGCGGCCGCGGCGCGCGCCCTTCAGCCCCAGCACCCCCCCGGGTCATGCACAAATCACGACGCTGGGTGGCTTTCAGCTGTTTTCGGCCTCGAGGGGCCCTCTCGCCGGGCCCCGTGGCCTTCAAAAACCAGCTCGGGATGAGGAACCGGTCCAGGGGAGTGGGTCGAGACCTCTGGGGGTCGACGTCATGCACAAATCATGACCGCAGGGGTCTGGGGTGGGAGGGCTCTGGCGAAGCAGGTGCGATGGGCCGGCGGGCTCCGCCGCCTCGGAACAACCACCAGCACTGGCCGTGTCGAACAAAAGGGCGGGAAACAACTTGGGAAAGGGGGCAATTGCGAAATCTGTTGCGTGCAGCTGGCAGCTGGTTTCGGCCGCGCCGCTGGGCGCTTTCCTCGATACAGTGGCGCCTCCAGCGCTGGGGGCGCGGGGAAAACTAGTTCATCACGTGAGCTGCCTCGCTAACCCCGCCCTTGATTAGCCCCCCAGTGTCGTCCGATCCGATTTGGGGGGGACCAGACCCCGCCATCATGCCAGATCTTCACGTTTCCGGCCTCTGGGGGTCGGTCTCCAGACCGCGGGGCTGTCAGAAGACGACCCAGGATGAGGTGTCAGTCCAGGGGTCGAGGTCCGAGGAGGGATTTTGCGGTCGGACCGAGGTAGAAGATCGAGGTCGGTTCGGGGAGGGTGCTCTAGTGTTTTTTGTTGTTGTTGCACGTGCGGGCAATTTGCCTATCGGTGCCCCCAATTAGCCCGACGCTGGTGCGGATCGCCTCCGCCTCGCCGCCGACGAAAAGAAGTTTGTTGGACGTTCTTGTGTATCCTGGGGGAGGGTACCCTCGAGTGATCTTATGATTTGGGGTGTTTTGGCCGTTGGAGGATTTTTTTGTCTGAAGGATGTTTTTCTGTCCGAGGTCCGACCGTATCCATAACAACCGCCTTGGAGATCGATGTTGTAGTGCCCCCCCTCCCTCTCCAGAGCGAAGCTTGAGCGAGCACAAGCTCACACGCCGGATCGGCGGATTCGGGGCTCTCGGCAGGTGGCGGACATGAATACATTCGGGCCCCCCTGGGGCCCAAACGTGTCCAGATCCACCGCCCGCAGGGGTGCCAGGACGTCGGGCCCCTGTCGGTCCACCGCCCGCAGGGGCCCGCATATCGACAAAACACGGCTCTGGAGGCTTGGGCGGAGGCTCGGGTCTGTCCTCCTGGAGATCTTGGAGCCCACCCACGCCTCAATTCTCCGAACCCGCCCTCCAGGCCAAACGTCCCTGAGGCCCATGTGTCGCATTTTTTCACCAGGCGCTTTTGTTCTTTCCGTGCTCTCGGCGTCTCACGAAAGAGGTTAGAGGGCTCCAGTCGTGATATTATTGCGATGCTGGTTCCTCTTCGCGACGTCGGATCTCTGTGGCACTCAAAACAGGCGTAACATGTCGGCCCATCTGCTTCGAGGGTCTCCCTTAGCCTTTCCAGCACGACGGTTCACGTTGGCGACGCTTGCCTTGCAGATAACCAGTCCTGAATTCAGGTTCCGAATCCAATACTGCAATTGCTTCCGAAGCCGCGTCACATGTAGAGTGATTTACGATCATGTATTGCCCATGAGCCTCGCCATGTTCATCCGGGTGTACAACAGATGAAAAGTTGCGGTGGCCCGCTATACAATATGCCCCGTGAGAGTCCTGTTGCGAAGTTTGCGTCCCGACGCCCCGATCGCGCTTCCTGATGCGCCAGTGCTTTGCTTATGCGAAGCGCGCTGCTGTTTTTGTCTGAAGATTTGGGAGCGTATGTGTGCGTATGCCGCATCTCTGGGGCCGAGAATTGAGGTCTCGCTCCCGCAGAAGGTTGGCCAGTCCACTCAGCGCCACCCGCCTCTGTTCTGTTTTAACCGTCTGACTACGCCCCCACCGGCGCGTCGGAGTAGCCAAGTCCCAGCGAGAGCCCCCGGATGCCGAATTATCAACAGAACACATTCGCCATTTTTCCCAACCCTCCGTTCGGTTCTCGTTTTGAATTGGACATCGCTGTCTCCAGCTTTCCTCCTCGCTCTCTCCTCCTTCCTCCTCTCTCCTCTTTTTTTCCTACTGCCTCCTACTCCTCTCTCTTCTCCTGCCTACTGTCTCCTACTTTCTGCCTGCCTTGTACCTGCCGCCTATCTCGCCATCGGGGGGATGCGAAGTGTGACATTGTCGTCACTTCCGAGGGCTACTGGGGGGCTGGCACATTGACGCCACACGAGGACTCGGACTAGACCTGGCCATCTTTGCGGTGCTACGAAGTCTGCAATTGTCGCCACTTTCGAGGGCTGCTGGGGGGGGGGTCAGCACAGTGACCTATCCTTCCCTGGGGGGCTGCGAAGTGTAAAACTGGGGCAGCACAGTGACGTCTTATGGGGATTCAGACCAGACCCCGCGATCCTTGGGGAGGCTGCGAAGTGTGAAGCTTTCGCCACTTTCGAGGGCTGCCGGGGAAGGGGGGACAGCACAGTTACGCCCTATGCGGATTCTGATTCGACCTCGCCATCCTTGGTGGGCTGCGAAGTGTGAAACTTTCGCCACTTTCGCGGACTGCTTGTGGGTTGCCATCGCAGTGGCGTCCTACGCGGACCCAACTCAGATTAGACTTGCCACTCCTGGAGGGCTTCAAAGTGTCAAACTGACGCCACGTTCGAGGGTTGCTTGGGGGGGCGGTAGCACAGTGGCGTCCTACGTGGACTCAGAATACACCTCGCAATCCCTCGGTGGCTGGGAAGTGTGAAACTGACGCCACTTCCGAGGGCTGCTGTGGGGACAGCTCAGTGACGTCTTACGCTGATGCAGACTAGACTTTGTTATCCCTGGGGGTCTGCGAAGTGTGAAGCTGTCGCCACTTTCGAGGGCTGCTGAGAGGGGCCAGAACAGCGACGTCATACGCGGACTGGGGGGCTGCGAAGTGTGAAGCTGTCGCCATTTTCGAGGGCTGCTGGGGGGCCAGCACGGTGATGTCCTTCGCGTTTAACCCAGCCATCTTTGCGGGGCTACGAAGTGTGGAACCGACGCCACGTTCGAGTGCCGCTGCGGGGGCCAGCACAGTGACGTCCTGCGCGGATTCAGATTAGACCTCGCCAGCCCAGGGGGGCTGCGAAGTATGAAACGGCCGCCCTTTTCGAGAGTTCCTGCCTTGCCAGCGGTGTTGCCGCTGCTCATGGGTGAGAAATTGAAAGTTGTCCCCTCCTTCCACCTTCCTCCTTGGGCGTCGTCCTTTTCCTTCTTGCCCTTCCTGCTGCTGCTGCTGCTTCGACGACATATCGCCATTCCCTGATCCTGCGTCTCTGCTTCGTTACCGACCCTTTCCCCTTCGGACCTCGGGCTTACCTCCGTTCTTTCTGGCCTTGCCCTTCTATCGGTGTCTTGTGAGTCCCGCAACGCGATCCCCCCATGCAACTCTCACCTCAAATTTCGGTCCTTGTCACGCCATCATCCGTTCTACAAGACATTGTTTTAGAGCAGTCGTTGCAGATAGGTTGGGTATGTCGCAGGGTATAATTGTCCCTGTGTCGGTTTAAGCTGCCCCCCTTCCTGTTGGAAGTTCAGTTGGCCACGTGCTGTTGGTGTTTCATTTGGCAAACGCCCGCTGGCGACACCTGGCTCACGCAGGCGTCTGCCATTCCATTTGGTACATCGGCTTAGGTTTAGCAGTTTGAGAGTAATTTGCACTGGCCGCGAGATGCGCGAAGTTGGGTGACTTGGGTCTGGAGGCAACGCCGGCCCTCCGACCTAGACTGGAGTTGGTATTCATATGAGCCCACCCCTCCGTCCGGATGCCCCTGCTTGAGGCCTCTCCTCGCAGACTATTCGACTGCTCATGGCCTGGTGAAGGCTTACACCTCCATGTCGCCTCGGGTAACAGCAGCAGGTTCCATGACTGCCGTCGAAGCGGGATTTACCAGGATTTTGCTCGATGGTTCGAGGGTAGCGTACGTTCTCTGCCACTATTACCTGGAACTAGGGCGGAGGAGAGTGACGAGACGGATGGCGACGAAGGGCCGAGGATGAGGAGTCGACGTAGTGTCCCCCCCCCCCAACAGGCTCCTCCCACTCTGGGTCCGTTTTTTCGCGGCAGCTCGTGTCTCCGGTCGGGGGTTTTGGTTCGGTCTGGCCCGCCCCGGGCCCCGGCCCAGGTCCAGTCTGGCCCGCCCTTGTTTCGGGATTCGATAGGGAGGATGGGGGCACCCGCACAGGCAGATCCCACCAGGAAGGAGGAAGGGCTGGAGGCACCCGCACAGGCGGATCCCGCCAGGAGCGAGGAAAGGGTGGGGGCATGCCATTCACGAAGTTGTCAAGCCAGTCTCGCCCTCGCAATTCTGGTCTCGCAGATGCCGCGCACGAGGTTGTTCGTCCAGCTTCTCCTGAGACATCCGAGCGACTCATGGCTCTGATATCCTGCGTGAGAGATTGCCCAGACAGATTCGCATGAGACATCCTCACAACTCTGGCTCAGAGATGCCGCGCACTCTCTTCGAGAGGAGGGGATCAGGAGGTGTTGGTATGCGCGATGGTAGGCATCAAAAGAGATCGCGTCCCCCGTCGAGTGTTCCCGTTGATGAAGCCACTCTTTGCAAATTTGTTGGGTACGACCCCGTGTAATTTCACGACTCCAGGAGGTTCGTCTGTGTGTGTATGTGCGCCTCTGAGCGGCTCCCCGCGCGCGCACCCGCCCGGTCGGTGACTTTCTCCGCCTCGATGCTGCGCGTGAGGCCGCGACCGCCAAAAAGTGTTTGTGTGTGTGTGTGTGCTTCGCGCGCTTCAGCTCCTTTTGGATACGGACTCGCTTCGCCGCGCTGCTGCCAGTCTGCGCTCCGCCGGCTGGGACCTGCCCGCTCACGGCGCAGCCGAGCGTCTTTGGGCCCTCTCGTTGCGCCCGTCTTTTCCAGCGCTCGCCTCGGGGGTGTCCGCGCTCCTGGTCCGGCTCATCGGCGCTCCACCTCAGCGGTGCGGTCGCCCCCTGGTCCCTTGGGATAACCCTCTGAGGTGATCGCTTCGCCGCCGCCCTCGCCCCCCTCGCCTCCAGCCTGCCCTCGCCCCGCCCTGCTCCGCCCCGCCTGGTTCGGCACGCCGATTGCGGCGCTCCGCAGCCCGCCCCTTTCAGTTCGCCGGCCTGCGGGCGCCACTGGCACGCCCAACTCTGGTGTGGCCGCCCGCTGCCTGGCCTCCTGGCCGCCCCTCGCCCGCCTAACTTTGGTGCGGCCTGGTCCTCTTCTCTGCCGCCACGCTGCCATTGATCGGCGGCCCGCCGCCGCCCCTGCCCCGCCCCGCCCCACCCCGGCCGCCTGGCGCCCGCGCTGGCTGCCGCCCCGCCCCGTCTGACGCCGCCCCAGCGCCTGCCCGCTGCCCTTGCGCCTCAGCGCCCCTGCGCCGTTCCCGGCCACTGCCCCGTGAGGGGCTGGCCGTTTCTCTCCGGCTAGCTTGGGCTCTCCCGCGGTTCTCCGCGCGCGGGTTGCACGGTGAGGAGGTGCTCCCGCCCGCGACGACTGGAAAGTGTGTGTGTGTGACTATTCGTGTGCGTGCGCGTGTGTGTGTGTGCGTGCGCTGTGAGCGGGCTGCAGCCCAGGAGCATCTACAGGTGCACCGCCAGAGCCATCACCCACGCCGGCGTGGGCAGCTGGTCCCCGGCGGTGGAGCTGGAGACGCTGGCGGTGCCCCCCGACGTGGACGACCTGCGCGTGGACGAGGCTTCCTTGACACGCTCGCGTCGAACAGCCGCACGACGGAAGGTTTTAAACGTGTTCGCCCTCTGGGGCCTTCGCCGGGCCCTGGGGCCGTCAACAAAATATTCCGGGATGGAAACAAGTCCTGGGGGAGGTGTCGGGACTTTGGGACACCGTATTAAAAAAAAACAAGCATCAGTTCTCTGGGCGTGGGGGTGGCGCGAGGGGAGCGGTCTTCTGAGCGGGGGGGCTCATACCCCGATGCCCTCAGGAAGGCTGCGTGGAAGCTGGAAGGGTTTCCACGAAGCCCCCCCGCTTTCTGAGAAGCTCCCCGCCTTCTGAGCAGGCCGCCCCCCTCGCGCCGACCTCTTTTTCGATGGAAGACGCACGGTGACCATGACCAACATGCTGCGGAATTTTGTCGACGCCGATCTTGGTCATGGTCCATGCCGGCCGTCGCCGAATCGCTGGCACGATGCACGACTTGATGATGGCCAGGGTGGACGCTGACAAATTGACCAAGGTCGGCACCGATGCTTCCGCTTTCAGTCTTGGTCATGGTCGAGGTCCACGGCCCTGGATGCAAAAATGACAGGTCATTGTCCATGGTCCTCGTTCTCTTCCCCCCCACTTCCAGGGTTTCTTTACGTCTGATCGATCTGATTCGACATCTGTTCCGGCCGGGCCGATCCGATTCGATATGCGGCCCGATGCCTGCACGGCGCCATAGTGCATTCTGGCACAGCCGATGCGATGCGACTTAGATTCCGTGCCGATGCAGCCCGATCCGATGGTTTTGCTGACGGATCCTGCATGTCTGCACGCTGCCACACGAGGCGGACCACTGCTCCGCGGTCCTCTCCTGGCGCGTGCTCGACGAGTGCCCGCAGGCTGGGCTCCTGCGCGCGCTCCTCGGCGAGGATCGGCATCGCCCAACCCATCCTCGCCCTCACGCAGCTTTGTGTGCGTCTGCACCCAGGGGGCGTCGGGCGGGCCGAGAAGTCTCATGTCCCATGTGCCGGAAGCCCGGCCCGAGGGGCCCCGGGCCGCAGCACACCAGGGGCCATTGACGTACACGAAGTCCCCTATCCGCCCGCCCCCGGGCCTCCCCGGGGCCTTCACCTGGCGGTCTTGGGCGGCCCGGCAGGGGAAACAATTGACGGTTTGGGGTCCTTGGGGGGGTAATATGGGGGGAAGAAGTTGACACGCGTAGAGACCCACAAGGGGTCGGGAGATACCCCAGGCAGATGCCCGCACGCGTCTTGATTAAATTTGGTGTGACTGAGACGTTTCGTCTAGGTGAGCAAGGTATCGCCAAACCTGTACATCATGCTGGTGTCCCGCGCCCTCCAGGCCAGGCGCGCCCAATGCAATCTGGAGAAGGCGAACCACCCTACTCTTTCGGCCGCGTCCCCATCGTGATCCACCTGGAAGATTTCTTGCAGCTGGAACGGACGGGGTCTGGGATATCGTTGCTGTCTGAATTGCAGCAGATGGCGGCCGCCGATGTCAGGAGGGAGGGGCCGCCTGTCGAGCACCAGCCTGTCATGAAATCCCTCTGCGACACGCCCTTTGTGATGTGAGCTCCAGGCAATCAATCGCTTCAAGCACGAGCGCCTCGCGGAGCGTATGAGCTTCATGAAGAAGCCGCGAAAGGTAGGGTGTCCACCGGCGTTGCAGATGCGTGAAGCCGCATCTTGGTGAGGACGGACGGTCCGAGGCTCACCGAGGAACGGTTCTGGACGGGCTATATGTTCGCTTGGTTTTGGGACGCACTAGCTCGCTGGATGATGATGCGCGCAAAGAGGGGCGCGCAGACTCTCGGGCAAATCATCTACCTCGTACAGGCCGCAGGCGTTTCCTCGCCCCTGGTGCCAGCGGACGTGACGCCAAGCTGATGCATCAATCAAGCCAGACACACTGGGTTGCATGCGCGGGATGCGGCCGCTGCGCTTGGGCACGCGAGTTCGTCTGCTGGAGCACCTGGACCTGAAGCGGAAGCTGGTCAAGGACGCAAAGGGCGAGGTCGTGCACGTGGCCATCATCAACCCGCCCGACAAGTAGAAGTGCGCCGTGCGAAGGCTGAGAACCGCCCAGCGTACTTGCGCCACTTGCCCTCCGGCGCTTGGGTCCTCATGGACAAGCGCCTTCTTCCGCGACTGGCTCGCCGAGCACGCAGAGGGGGTCGACGTGTCGGACGGGCCAAATCTCGTCTTCATCGAACCAAATCTCGTCTTCGTCGATTTCCGCAAGCGCAGGATCACGCGGACAGGCTTGCACATCTTCCACGCCAAGGTGCTCGCGCCGACTGCTTGCCAGGGCAGGGCCGTGCAAGATGGCGTCATCGTCGACGCCAGGTATACAGGTCATCGACGACTTGGACTCCTGCTGGTTGCGCCTCTACGTCATGCTCGCCAGAGCGACGACTTCTGACAACCTGATGATCCGCGCCCCAGGCTTGAAGTTCAATCGCGGGGGCCCCCGGCGGACCTGGCTCCTCGCTTCCGCGCTTGCAGCGCCCTCGCGGAAACATGCAGAAAGCAGTCCGCGAAATTGGTGCGCAGCCGTTGCCAGAGTTCGCGCGCTTGCTAATGCCGCGGCGGCGCGGGCGGCAATGCGTGCGACGGGCGGCGGCCAGTCCATATGAAAGGGCGCGCGCTCGCATGGCGCGAGGCGTTGTCCTGTCATATAGCGCGCGGCGCCGTTGCATCGCATAGCGCATAGCGTTCGAGCGTCACGCAGCACAGCAGCGGCGAGGGTCTGGCGGGCAAATGTAGCGCATTGCGCTGCTACACTCACCAGCGTTCGTCCCTCATCCTCCTCCCTCCTGTGCCTGCGACGTTCTGCAAACGCACATCGGTGTCACAGTTTTGCTTGTTCGTTATAACATGTCGACGTTCGAATGTTCCCGAGAGCTTGCACATGAATTAGGCGTCCCAGTTCGATGTGTTTGTGTGTAGGAAAGAACGAGTGATCTTGGTTTCCTGGCACATATCAGTGTTCCAAGTTGTTCAACAAAATGGAACACTGATTTGCGCGGCGCAGATCGGTGCCCCAGTTTGGTGAGCTTGTGATGTGTCTGCGCTGAGTTATTGGCGTTGGTTTGTTAGCCGCTGTGTAATGACGCGAATCGACGTCCCAATCAGTTGTGTTTGTAAGTGCTTACTAGCGCAACTGTGTGTTGTTTCTTTCGTGCTTGTGACAGTTTCGAGGCAAAACGGTGTCCAAGTTCGGCGCGTTTGCGACGGCTTATTGGCAGCAGTGTGTGTGTGTATGTGTGTGTGTGTGTGTGTGTGTGTGTGTGTGTGTGTGTGCGACGCTCTGTTGGCGCAAATCGGTGTCCAGTTTGGTGCGTCCGTATTTCTATTGTATCGAAGTTGTCGTGTTTGTGTCGGTAGAATGATTTACGACGGTTTGTGTGTCTGCTACGGCCTATTGGCGCAAAAAGGACGCCCCAGTGGCGGCACCGGCACCCCGTGAGGGTGCCAGCAGCGCCGTTGTCGGCAGATTCGTGGGCAAGAGTGTGCGTGCGTGCCATTTTTTTGTACGGGGCGCTGCGCATGGAAAAGCGGTTGGGTACGTCGCGGGTAATTTTGATACGCGGTCCCCGGATGTCCCGACTGTTTCCCCAAGGCCGGTTCACCGTCCCGAGCCGATTTTGACGGTCCCAAGTCCCAGCGAAGGCCCCCGGGGCCGAAAATTGAGAAACAATGTAGCATCGGGATTTTTTCTGGACGCAAACATGTCCGGGGCCATATCAGAGGGAACGAAGCCCAGATGAAAAAGGCGGGCGCCTTCTGGCTTCATTGCCAGGGGGACAATCTATGTTTCTACGATGCAAACGTTGGCCGCCCAGACCGTTATGGCAGGGATGTTTGTATTATGTGCTCGGTTCGAACGGGCGCCTCCGAGGAGGGCGCATCGTACTAGTACGTCCTTTTGCGCCCCAAGAGGAGGAGGCAGAGCGCGAGCTTTGGGCGCGCCGGCTCGTCGGTTTCCGCGTGCGGTCGGGCGGCCCAGCCGCCGGGGCGCTGAAGGAAATCCTCGGCGCGCGTTCGCGGCCCGCGCCCGACGGCCGCCACCGCCTGGCTCTGAGGGACCTGGCGCCCAACAGCGCGTACCAGGCCCTGGGTCAGGAAGGGGAAAAGGTATCCATACCGCTCCGTTTCCATCGTTTTTGCCTGCTTGGACTTCCTGGGAGGCCATCGTCGCCACCGCCGGGTTCGCCCATGACTTCTGGTGAGAACGCTCTCTGGGAGCGGTCCGGGGGGACACCCAGACCCCCTTCGGGTCATGAAACAAATCGCGAACGGTGTTTTTTCATAATTTTCGGATCCTGTGGGCCCTTTCCGGGCCTTGGGAACGTCAAGAAACGACTCAGGATGAAAAGCCTGTCCCGGAGAATGTGTCGAGACTTCTGGGGTTCCACTTCGTGAACAGTTTGTGATTGTGGGTCGTGGAACTCCCGCGCGTGATTTCGGGGCGGTCTCGAACTCCCACCCTCCGGCGAGTCCCACCACGATGGGTGGGCCCCCCTCCGCCCTTGCCAGGGCCTTCACCCTTCCGCCGCGGGCGTGGGCGGGGGCCCTGGGGGAGGGGAGGGGGCTCGACCGCGGAGTGCCTCATGGAGGCGGGGTAGGACTTCGCGACCGCGCTTGTCGGCACTTCGGCGTGCGCGAACGGTGGGCAGTGAGGGTGGCCTCGCAAAGAGGAGGGAAATGGGGCGAGGTGAAACAGTTGCCGGCCCTCCCGACGCTCGCAGTGTCCAGGGCGGGGGGGCCCAGCATCCACCTCTCACTTCCAGATTCCTTGCCCTTCCCCCCTCGGTTCTACTGATGACTCGCTCCCATCGCAGAGCGGGGGGATCAAGTTCGATTGGGAGGTGCCCTGCGTACACGGCCCCCGGCGCCGCCACCCATTCAAGGGGAACTGCCGTCAGTTCACTGTTCCCCTTGTACCGCTATCGCACCGTTATCATGGCTCATCGACAATATATCAATATGTATATATACATATATATGTATATGTATATGTATATATGTATATATATATATATATATATATACAGGTGGAGGTGGCCGCAGCTGCCCGGGGCTCCGAGGACGGCACCTGGTCCGGCCCGGTCCAGGTCCTCACCGAGGGCCTGGCGCCAGGCGTGCCGGCGCCGGCGTTGCTGTGCGCGTCGCGTCGCGGGGCGGCGGTGCATTGGGCCGCCCCGGATGCGGCTGCGGCCGCGGTGTTCAGTTTCGTTTAACCTATTCCCGCCTCCAGCGGGCCATGGTATTTCACCCCCACCTTTCCACCCCCCAGTTGCCAGTCGAGCGACGCAACAGAAACATGGTCGTATTCACCGACGTTGGCGCGTAAACTGCCCCTGCAAGATCGCCCGTAAACGCTCATTTCCAGCGTAGCGTGGCGCGTTGGTGGCTCGCATCAACCACCGTGTACTGTCTCTATGTCATCGTGCGTGCGACCCGTTTCTTTTCGTCGCTCTGTTTGGGAAAGGCCCTTCCAAATCCCCAGGGGACAGCCTACATCCCCATCTGGGGGGAGAAATCGGCCAGTGGGGCCCAGGCCAGGCTGTTGGAGATCGGGGTCGGTTAATCGATGCTCAGGTATTGGGCTACGTGGTACAACTGCGGCGGAGGCCCGAGCATCGCGGGCGGCCTCCCGACCCCGAGGAGCGCGCGTTCCCGCTCGCCGGCGCGGGCGAGGGCGGTCAGGGGAGGAAAGGGGTGCCCAGTGGAGTCGGCTGGGGGTCTGAGATGGTTTAGCATTGGTTTCGGCGAGCAGGAAGGGGGAGAAGAGGTTCGAGGTGTTGGATTCGGGAAATGTTTCCCAATTATGCCTGCCTAAGAGTTTCTTACTTGGTGAAAGGTTGGTGCTTTCTACTGTTACTTTGCCCGTTGCTCGGAGGTTCCTTGGGTTCCTCGGGTTCTCCGCCCCCGGTGCCTCCTATTGTTACGTTGCCCGTTTCCCGCAGGTTTCTCGGGTTCCTTGGGTTCCTTGGGTTCCTTGGGTTCCTCGGGTTCGCGGCCCCTGGTGGCTCCAATTTCCTCGGGTTCCCGGCCACGGTGGCTCTATTTGGTTAACAGTTGGTGCCTCGTATTCTTACGTTGCTTGTTTCCCTGAGGCTCCTCGGGTTCCGCGGGTTCCTCGGGTTCCCCGCCCCCGGTGTCTCGTATTCTTATTGTGCCCGTTCCCTGGAGGTTCCTCGGGCTCCCCAGATTCCTCGGGTTATCCGCCCCAGTTGCCTCGTTTTCTGACGTTGCCCGTTCCTCGAAGGTTCCTCGGGTTCCCTGGGTTCCTCGGGTTCCCCGCCCTGGTTGTTGGTCTTGTTTTCCAGCAGTGCCAGGTATCGCCAGGCAACTTCAAGCAACGCCAAGCAGATCGAAGCAGTGCAAAGCAACGCCAAGCAATACCAAGCAACGCCAAGCATCACCAACAATGACAAGTAATGCCAAGCAATGACAAGCAACGCCAAACACTGCCAAGCAGCAACGCCGCTCAAGAAGCGTTCCCCTAATTGGGGGCGCGCCAGGGATCCAGGGACAGATTTTGACCATGTTTGGCTTCATCCCCCCTCCTTATCTAGCGGGACCCGTCTTCAGGCCTCCCAGATGGGGCCCGAGTACATAGGGTCGGAGGATCGCGCCGCATCGGGGATTCGGCGATGCGTCGGCGATGCGAGTCGATGTAGAGCCACAATTTCTCCACGCCGGCATTGGCGATGCATCGGCGATGCATTGGCGTTGCGGCGCGATCCTCCGTCCCCATCCTCTCGGACACCATCTGGGAGGCCTCTAATACCGCTACCCGTGTCGCCACGGCTGGATTCGCCTCGAAATGCTGGTCGGGCCGCAACCCGGGAGAGGCCCGTGGAGAGGCCCGTGGAGCATAGGTGTCGCTATCTATTTGGCTCCCTAGGCGGGGAGGCCGCGTCCCGGGACGTCGCGATCTGCGACGGCAGCTCGACCCGGGTGGAGCTGAGGCTCGGCATCGTCTAGCCATGAACCATGGGCGCTGCATTTCTTTCCACCCCGAGCGTTTTCGGCCGGTGTCGGGTCCTGAGAGCATCACGGATCGATCTGGTTCAATACACAGTACCGCAGAAGTGTGGGGTCCAGGGTTTTCTTCGTGATGTTTCGCGATGCTGCAATTTTTTCGCCACGTCGAATCTGAGGAAACCTGTTCCCATCCCCACTGGGCCGGGGTTATCTCAGCCCCACCCGCCCGCCCTCCCGGGTGAGGATATTCCCCGCAAGGTCCGCACGAGCATGCGCCTGTCCCCACCCAGGTCGGCCCGCGGCGCCAAGGCCGCGCCAGTGCGAATACGGATTGGTTAAACGATGCTCGGAGGGATCTGGAGCCCGGCGCCACCTACCTCGTCCAGGTCGCCGCGAGGACCGCCAGGGGCGTCGGCTCCTGGAGCGAGGAGTGCCTGGTGTCGACCCGCTCTCGCGCCCCTGCCATGTCGCAGGAGGCCGAACCGCGGCTGCTGCACGCCTACTACGACAAGCTCGTGCTGCTCTGCGGCGGGCCAGTGCCGGACTGGCCCCCCGAGGAGGCCAGCGACGTGACCGGCTACCGGGTCCGGTATTTCGAGTGCTCGAGGTCCGGGTGGCACGGCGCCTGGGTGGAGCCCGCGCCCCACCACCTGGAGGTCACAGAGACCGAGGACCAGGCCAGGGTCCATTTCGATGTTTTGAGGATCCGATGCTGCCCGATGCTTGCATGGCGCTGTTGTGCATCCTTCAAGGGACAACCACCAGCATCAAATAAACTTTGATTTTGTTTGACCGGGCACTACCTTCAAAAGATTGGCCGGCTGGGTTTTGCGGCGAATATCGCCCGTCGCAATGTCTTCCGAAGTTGCCCTCGAACCGCATAGAGCATAAGAGCAGCCAAGCGGCGCCGGCCCGATGTTCTGCTTGCCCTTTGGGTCGGGCGAGGAATGTGTCATGCACGAGAGCGCCCGCCCAGCTGTGTTGGCGACTCGGGAGGGCCCGATCGGGCAGGGCCGACGTGGCCGACGGACCCCCTTAAAAGGTTATACGCAGGTTATGTGTGATTGTTGCGTTTTCCGAGGACAGCTTTTTTTAGCCTCCGCAGTGCCCAGGGTGATTTGGCGACCTCCGTCGCTTTTCAAGGGTGTAGACTTTTGGGGAGCACTTCGTGGTCGTCGACTGGGCGCCCGCGCCCCTGGCGGGCGCCGCGATTGCCCGGGGCCTACCATTCGGGAGGTGGCGAACGACGGGAGCACCGCGCCATGCAAAACATAGACAGTTTATGATAGAAGTTTCTTCGCTGACTACTCCTGGCGCAGCCGATCTGACCCGTTCTCGACTCCGCCGAGCCGCTGCACATTCCGATTCGACCCGATCTGCCGATTCGGTGCTGACTGATCCCACCAGGCGGGCTGCCCCGCGGTGCAGGTCTGTCTGCGCGGCCTGGCACCAGAGCGCCAGCACGTGGTGCAGGTGGCCGCGGTGACGGCCGCCGGCCAGGGGCCCTGGTCTCCGCAGAGCGGGCGGCTCAGCACGTGGCGCGTGGCGCCGCGCATGGCCCTGCCGCGGGTGCTGTTCCGGACCCATGAGGCCCTGGTGCTGGGGTGGACCCAGGACTTCCAGGACCGGGGGCTCGCAGATCTGGGCCTCCCGGGTGGGGCCAGAGCAGGTGGGGTCGGAGCACCGCGCCGCGTCGCCGATGCATCGGCGATGCGGCTCGATGCGGAACCCGATTTTCTCCACGCCTGCCTCGGCGATGCACCGCCGACGTCGCCGCTGCACCGTGGATGTATCGGCGATGCAACGCCGATGCGGCGCGATCCTCCGACCCCTATCTACTCGGACCCTATGGGGTTTGGGAGCGAGCCCAGCCAGATGCTCACACTTCCTCTTCCAGGGACCGTTTGGAGCGAAGTTCCTCTGACCCCACCTCCTGCCCCTGCAGCCAAAACGCTGCAATAGTGAGAACTTTGAGCTCAGGAGGGGCGCTGCCGTTCCCTGGATATGGGTCGGATAACCTATTCGTGACCCAGGCTTGCAGTGGCCAGAAAAGCCCCTTCGTACCTTCGTCGGCGCTCCTTGTGGATAGCACGATGACCGTACACTATAAGGAAAATCCGCGAGGCTTCGCGCGGCGCGCACTAGTTGTATCATCTAGTCTACGTGTCCGCTCCGTAAGATATGCGTTGATGATCACGCGGTCATGCTCCGACGTGAAACCCAGGTAAATCCGACTTAATCTGGCGTGAATCCAACGAACATCCGACGTACACTGAGTCTCAGGTTGCCGCGCGTTCCTCCAGGGTTCGTGACCGTCTGGGCCAAACATGTAGCCAACATCGAGGCGAGAGCACGATTCCTGATGAATTGAGAGGACGTCTCAGGCGGAATTGCTGTCGGACCACCTTTAGACCAGGCGGTTTCGGGCTCCCGGTCCTCAATAGTGGGATGCATTGGTGTTTTTTTTGCCACTATAGAACACTCTAGTGAACGGCCATTGAAGAAGCAACCCCTTCGCTCTTCCTTCGACGCTCCTTGTGGACAGCACGATGACAGTACGCCGCCTTTGGGGCTCGCCGTGGCCAATGAACCGTTTCGTTACTTTTTTGGCGTTCGGTTTCTGGTGGGTAACGCGATGAGTGTGCACCGCCTTTCGAGGCTCGCCGTGCCAGAAAAACCTCTTCGTGTTTTCTTCGGCGTTCTTTGTGGGCAGCGCGATGAGTGTGCAACGCTTTTGGGGGTCGTCGTCACCGTCGACGTCGTCGTCGTCGTGGCCCCCCCGAGACTTCCTGAGGCCTCCGGAAACCGCTGGAGCCCTTTAGAGACGGCCGTCGTCGCCGTCATGGTCGTCGTTGTCTTCGTCGTCGTCGTCGTCGTCGTCGTCGTCGTTTTGCCCCAGCGCCAGTGGTCACACATGCTGCCGCATGCTTCCTTCGGGCTGGGACCATCGCGCTGCTGTCGGAGGCGGCGTGGCATCGGCGCCGCGCCAGCGGCGCCAGCGGGCAGCGGTGCGGACCCTGCCGCGGGCGTGGCAAGGAGCGCCGTCGGCGCGGCAGCGGCGGCGCCTCGAGGAGGCGACCGCGCTGCTGGAGCGGCGCCGCGGCTCGCAGGCGGCGCAGGGGCCCGCCTCCATGGGCAGGGGCATCTACTCGGTGTGTGGTGGCTGCGGCGACTTGTCGCGGGATGACCTTCTGCGGAAGAGCAGAGGATGGTGTTCGTGCGGCACTTCTGTTGGCAGGCTTGCGCTGGCCCCGTGGGGCAGCCGCTCGAGCGGCCCTGGCGCGGGCAGAGGTGCTGGAGCGGCTGGGGCGGAGGGCGGCGCGAGGGGGCACGAACTCGGCGGTCGGCGTTGCGCCAGGTCCGACGCCCAAGGGGATCAGGGAGGCGCTGGAGGCGATGCAGGCGGGGCGCCAAGAGGCGGCACTGGCGGCCCTGCGGAGGCGCGCGGCCCCGCGCGATGGGGGCACGGCGGCAAAGGCCAAGGCGGCGGACATGTTCGCGAAGTTCAAGGTGGCCAGTGGCCCGGGCGGGCTTGCGCTGGCAGGTGTTGCAAGCGAAGCAGGCGCGGGTCAGGGCGACGAAAGTCCAGCTGAAGGCGTTGGGGCAGGAGCGCGACCTCGCGGCCGACGGGCGTGCCGCAGCCAAGGCCGCCCGCGACGGCGGAGGAGGTCGGCCGACGGGGCCTGCGGCCGCGGAAAGGTCTTGGGGTTGCGAGATCCCGTCGGACCTCCTCGAGGAGCTCGACGAGGTGGGCGGCGCGGAGGCCACCGCGGAACTGGAGATGTGCAGGGCTGGGCGGGGGTGCCACCAGAAGGAGGGCAGGAACGCGCCTTATCAGAAGAGGAAGGAGATGGAAAGGGCGCGCACTGAGCTCTACAAACAGGCCGATCACATGGCCGCGAAGCTCGAGGGGGGAATGGGCCAGGCCAGGGCGCGCGCGAGGAGTGCGACCGAGAAGAGGCGAGCTGGCGAGGAGACGCTCCCGGAGGTGGCCACGGCAGCAGCTGCGGCGGCGGCCGGCGCGGGCGAGAACGGGCCCGAGGCCGAGGCGGCGGCGCCAGCGACGGCAGCCGAGGAGGATTATGCGATGGAGCTGGATGAGGAGACCGAGCTCAGGCGAAGGGCAGCGGCTCTGACCGCGGCCGAAGCAGATGCTGACCAGAAGCACATGGGCTTGCTGGACGCCGCGGGCGCAAATAAGGGCGGCGAGCACGGCGAGGAGGACGCGTTAGGCAAGGGGGGCAAGGCTGGGGGGCACAGCGGGCGGTGCCACTCTTGGCGGGTCGCGCCACCATGGAGGCGGGGGGGGGCCCTGGGAGGCGCCGGCCGGGGTGGGGCTGCGGGCCGTCAAGTTCGGCCAAGTGGTGGAGCAGCAGCGCGTGAGTGGGCATGTCGAGGGGGAGCTGCTTGGGCCTGGAGGACAGCCTCAGCCGGCGAGGGCGGTCTTCCCCATCCGAGACAGCGGCGGCCACATGTTCTGGGGGGGCCGGCGGGGGTGGCGACGGGCGGCAGCTTGCGGGCGTGCTGGGGCCCGCGGTGCCCGAGCCCAGGACGGGCGGGGGCTTCCAGGGCGCGAGGGGCGACCTCCGTTTCAAGGGCGGCAATTTCGGCGAAGGCGGCGGGGAGAGGAGCGGGGGGTGGGGGGCTTGGCGAGGAGCTGGGAGGGGGGCGCTGCCAGCGCGGCGCCCCTCTATGGATGGCCAGGCGAGGAGGGGGGGGGGGGGGGGCGCCGCTAGCGCGGCGCTCCCCCGCGAGGGCGGGCGGGCGGCTGCGGGCCCGAGCCCGATGGTGTCCCATAGGGGGGGGGGGGGGGGGGGGGGGGGCTCTTCAGGTTTCGCGGTCGGAGCGCTTTGATGGGCGACATCCTGGGGGGGGCCCGACGGGGGGCGACCCGGGGTCGAAGTCGCCGCGCGCTGGGCGCGGCAGAGGCGGGGCGGAGGGCTGCGAGGCAGAAGGGGGGGCGGGGGCCAGCCGCAGCGCGTGGGCAAGCTTCCCAGCGCGCTGGTGGCGGTGACGGATAGGGCCAGATGCGCGGACTGCCTGGGGAAGTGCGCGGGCGGGTGGGTCGCGCCTGCGGGCGATGCTGAAGCGGGCGAGGTTGAGCGTGGGCGATGGCGCGCGGCTTGCGCCGAGATGGCGCCGGGCCCCCCCGCCAACGGGAGATGGGTCGAAGCAGCCAGAGGAGCCATGGCGACCAGAGTGCGGCTGAGGACATCTGCGTGGGGGGCCGGGGATTTGGGCGCACGCTGAAGGAGGCGACCGCAGGCGTCTCCGAGGCCCTAGGCCTGGACCGGCGGGCCCTCCCCGCGCGGCGCGGGGCCGTTCGCCACCTCGGGCGAGCGGCTGCTCGACAACGTAAGGGAGGAGTCCACGCGGCTGCTGGGGGGCGGGGGGGCCGGGGCGAGGGGGGGGTGCGTGGCCCGGGGGGGGGCGGCGGCGGCTGCCGGCGCGGGCGGGTCGTTCGGCATGGGATGCGGCGCGAGGCGCGGCTTGGGGCTCGGCCCCAAGGCTCGCGCTCGGCGCCGCGCCGTTGGAGGGGGGGTCTGCGATGGGCTGCCCCGGCGTCGGAGGTGGGGGGCGCCCCTCGTTCCAGCTGGGAACGGGGGGCGCGGGGTCGTTGCGGCGCCGGCGAGGCCTTCGAGCGGGGTGGCGAGGTCATTATTTTGACGGCCAGTACCCACAACTGGAGCTCAGCCGATGGACTCCGCGAGATAGCGCACGCCGCGTGAGTCGACGCGCCCGAGTGCGTTCTGCCGCAGAAAGCGCAGGTGCGAGCCCCAGAGGGCGCTGGGCCACGCGAGGAGCTGTGCGAGGAAGAGGAGCTGGAAGGCGCGGCAAGGAGCAGCAAGGTCAACGGGAAAGACGGCTCTGGAGCGCAGCGGTGGGCGGCGGCACTGGCGACGACGGCGAGGGGCAGCAGGGGCTAGAAAGGAAACGTGCGTGAGCGGTGGCCACGCCGCTGGGCAGCAGCCGAGATCGACCGCGGCCTGCAGGTCAGGGTGCCGATCAGCCCGGCGTGCCTGGATCACGCGTGGGCCTCGAGGGCAACGGGCAGCAGCTGGGGGGGATGGCGAGCGAGCTGAAGGGGCGGGTGGCACTGTGGATCATCGGCGGCGACTGGGGCGCGGGCCCGGCCGGTCGGATGGGCGGGCCTGCGAGACTGGAGGGGCGCTGGCGCTCAGCGGCGAGGTTGCGATGGGGGGCGAGGAGCTCGACTTTTTCATCGCGGCGAACGAGCTAGCGTCCCTGGCGAAGGAGAGGTCAAGCTGCCGATGTGGCCAGCGGCCCTCGCGCGCCTGTGGGGCTGCGCCTCGGGGGCGTCAGCAGGCGCGCGGAGGTCGCGGCGTTCCGAGAGATCTGGAAGGCAGAGCTTGCGTCGTCGCCCTCGTGAGGGGGGGGGGGGGGGGGGGGGGGGCGTTGCAGGAGCTGGTCTGGGAAGCTGAGAAGGCAGGAGAAGCGCTCCGGGCTTGGTTCGCGGAAGCGGGGGGCTACCTGCGTGAGCTGCGCCAGTTTGGCGAAGCGAAAGTGAGCGGAGCTGACGGCCCGAAGCGCGCGTGGCAGGACCTGTGGGGGGGGGGGGGGGGGCGGCAGCGAGGGCCGAGGGCGCGGGCCGGCGCGGAGAC